ATATGCCGTCGAATTCGGTGGCTGCAGTACTGATGGCCGCGGAGGAGGCGGTGGCGGTGGTGGTAATGGCAGCATTCCTTCCGCTGCCCTCCCCAGTACACTCGTCAGGCTTGGTACAAGCAGTTATGGCGGTCTGGAGTCGAGTGGCAGCTTTCTAGGCAGCGAGCACGGCGGCCGATACCGGCAGTCTGGTCGGCAACCGTTGTCAAGTTCCTCTTTTGCTCACTCACCGGCTTCCAAATGCCTGCTCGGGGTGCCACAGAACAGAGGAAGAGGAGGCAGAGTACCACGTCGGTGCACTATTGATGCTACGAATAGCCCACATTTGCGTCCACCAACCAGTTACTATGCGCCCTCCTTCCTGACAACTGCTTCTGCTTCTGCCTCAGTGTCCACGCCCAGGCGGGTGCAGTGTCATGACGAAGTGGTGTGACCACACAGTAGACTCGTGGACAGTAGTTGAGACACTAATACAGACAGACAATCGCAAAGATAAGGGAACGAAGATTAAGCAATATCATAGACCTATGTCTAAAATAGTCATGATACACATGTGTTTTATCATGTGAAAAATTGGTTCATAGCTATTTCTGCTCTTTATCCAACTTTCTATCCTTCCAGTTCTCTCTTCCCATTATGTGCGTGGGCACCCAGTCATTTGCATCTGTTCTATGATTTTCTGTCTACACATGAGTCAGTGGTTCGAGGAGTTTCTCATTTCATGCAAAGTGGCCAACTGCTCTATCTGCTCTCCTAGCCCTATATCTGCACCACAGATGATGTCTTTTTTATCAGGGTTCCGAAAATCAATCTGTTTATTTCTATGATCAGAAACAATGCTCTATTTTTTACGGGAACTAATGTTCCGCCTGCTTGACTACTTTCAGCTAGTTTGTTCATTTTTCCCTCTATTTTCGATAAAGAAACTCAACAAGAGCATAACTGTATCTACGCTGCTTTGGATTTCAACTATAAAGCGCCGATTGAGAGGAGAGCTAGCGTTTTTATCAAAGCTCTGGGGCATTTGTCTCTCCAGCCGATGCCCAGGGACTTTAGTCAACGTTCGACCTGCATTACACTGTCAACCCTTTCGAGACATTTATTCCTTCTTTCAAGCCTACTTTTGCATGTACTTTCTGCATCTCTGCCAAGATGTCATACCTATTTCGCAGTAAAATCACGGTCAACAGACGTGTGTATAAAGTTGGATGGTAACACTTATAAAGACGCTTAAAGAAGTGTATTAACAGTTTTGATAGATTATGCATTTATTTTCAGGGCCGAAAGAGCCCATATTCGAGGATCACTGTCATGCTAGGCCACACCTTGACATAGAAATTGAGATATAAACGAAAAAATAGATCTCGCAGGTGCAAAACGTACTTATCGTTTTTTATCCTTCTTATAGCATTCCTCTTTCACCTATTTTTCTTTCTTTTGTGTGCATACTCTAATGGATGGTTACATGG